AAAAATACAACAAATTTTCACCCAATGTTCAAACTTTTTTCTCAGAAGTGTTAGAATTTTTTTGAGAATTTTAGTCTAATAGTGTGTAGGTTTTAAGTGGCTAAAAATTACCGTTGATTTTTTAGAATTTTTTCGCCGAAGGTGTGTCTGGTTTCTTCCATATTCGTTATATTGAAGCAAATGCGACAAGAAATTCTAAAAAAATCAACGGTGATTTTTAGCCACTTTAAACTTGCTCATTATCAGACTAAAATTGCACGGGCTATAAAACTACATACCAAATCAAAAAATTCTAATAATTCTGAGAGAAAAGTTTGAAATTTAGGTGAAAATTTGTTGAATTTTTTGTAGTCTCTTCTTATTTGTCACTACAACCGTTTGTCGGTTTGGGCCGAGACCAAAAAACTTCTCCAATTGCTTCTCTCCTGCGCGAATTTGCGCCGTCATCCACAAAAACCGGGCCGTAGATCTTGCGTAGAATAGTTCTCTCGAAAGCCCCCAAAGCCTTCTTATCGACATCGTCTAAATTTCTGCGCCATATAAAAGGACTGGCATGATAAGAGATTTGTAGAGCGTAAGTTTTGTTCGTCGAGAGAGGGCTCTGCTTTTCAATTGCCTCCCTAGCCCAAAGTAGCACCTGTAGGCAAGAGCTATTCTTCGCTTGATTTCCAGGCTGACGTTGTTGGTGGTGTTTATGCTGGACCTAGGTAGACAAAGTCCTTCACTACTTCAAAGTTATAGCTGCCAACAGTGACGTGTGTCTCGAATCGCGTTGACTTTTTATACATATGTTTCCAGGAGGTACTTTGTCTTGCGCTCGTTCACCGCTAGACAAACCTCTTTAGCTTTTTTTTTCTACGCTGGTAAATGCTACGGTTACGTCCTTTTGTTGTAGTATTTTACAAAGTTTAAAACTTGAGTTTATATGGGTTTTGTTAGAGAATGAAATGTATTTTAATTGAATATTCTTAAAAATTAATAATTCAGCATATGTGGCAAACAATTGGGGTATTCACAACGGTGTCGTAAGTGTCGTATTGTTGTATGGCATAAACTTT